CTGGAAAATATATACCTTTGTTCAGATACCTATGTCAACCAAAACCTAACTCAGAAGCAGGTATGAGAAATCAACTATCTTCTATTAAGCCAGTTCAAAAGGCTCCAAAAATGAACTGATTAATCACAGAAGAATGTGTGTAGAATGAGGGAGACCAGTCTCCATGTGCCCTAGATAATGCTTACTGGAGGTGCTGTATTTCCAATCAACTATCAACATGTTGGAGTACATCCAAAGGACCCCACAAGAAGAAGCATTTAGGAACCATGGGGAAAACTTCAAAGAATCTAGGACATTCAATTTTAAAATTAATGAAAAGGTCAAGAGGCAGTGCAGACTCTGGCCCAGCTCTTCCTTCCTTTTCTTAGGGTAAGATGGGAACTGATCTTGGACTGACAAGCCCCCCAAAACATTCTGCTTTGGATGTTCTAATTTGGATTTCATAATTCAAGTCTTCCCAGAATACTCAGGTTAGTTTCAGACAGAAATATAAATGCAAAAAATATACTAATAGTTTTTAGAAATCTGAGGCATTTATATTAAACATTTCAAACATAAATTCTGTAACAAACTAACAATTTCAAAGAATAAATTACTTTGTACTCACTTATAATATCCATTGTACCCAAGAGAAACAGATTTCTTGCTTGGATTTAGATATATAGCTAGTTGAGTAAAAACTCACTCTAGTTAACTCAACAGAACTTTTCCCATTCTACTAATCTCAAGGGCAATATTTTAAGAATTAAAAAAAAAAATTACAAACCAATAGCTACCAATTACTAAGCATTTTTATGAACTAGATATTGTGTCACACACTTAATACTCCCAACAGCCCATCAGAGGACTTTCTATCTTACAAGTGGAGAAAATGAGGCTCAGAGAGGTAAGGGAACTTTTTCCAGGTCACACAGCTAATACATGGCTGAGTTTACACTCAAGCTCTGGTCTGCCTGATTAAGAATCTAGGGCTTTTGCCCTAGCTGGTTTGGCTCAGTGGATAGAGCATCTGCCTGTGGATTGGGGAGGAGGGGGTTCCAGGTTCAATTCTGGTCAAGGGCACATGCTCTGGTTGCCGGCTCTATCCCCAATTGGGGGGGGGGGGGGGGATGCAGAAGGCAGCCGATCAATGATTCTCATCATTGATGTTTCTCTCCTTTCCTCTTTGAAATCAATAAAAATATATTAAAAATAAATAAATAAAAAGAATCTAGGGCTTTTGCCTGAACTGTCTCCCAGATACTTCTTGGTAAAACCAAGCATTTGTGGTAACACGTTTCACAAGACTGGGGAGTGGGGAGAAGGATGACAACAAACCGAAACAACTTGTCATTTGATATGTAAACAGAATTTTCCCCTTATTGATTTTTTTTTTCCCCGAGAGACTGGAAGGGAGAAAGGAGAAGAGAGGAAGGGGGATGGTGATGGAGAAAGAACCCCTGACTGGGAATTGGACCCTTTGGTGCACCGGTCGACACTCCAACCACTCAGTAACACAGTAGTAAACAGAATTTTAAAGTCAGCTTTTCAATACCTTTACAGATCCTGGTATCAGTGGAAATAGCTACCATTTATTTTTTTAATATGTTTTATTGATTTTTACAGAGAGGGAGAGAGAGGGACAGAGAGTTAGAAACATCGATGAGAGAGAATCATCGAACAGCTGCCCTTGACCAGAATTGAACCTTTCAGTCCACAGGCTGAGGCTCTATCCACCGATTTTGGCAATAGCTACTATTTTTATATACTGTTTCCTTTTCAGTTTTAAGTTAAAATATGCTTAGAAATTTAGAGATGCCAAGCTAAGCCTTACAAGACTCAAAGTTTAGAATTCTTCCGCAACCAAGGTACATGCCCTTGACCGGAATCGAACCCAGGGCCCTTCAGTCCCCACCGATGCTATATCCATTGAGCCAAAACGGCAGTTCAATCAATTTTTAGCAGATACAATTTCATCAACCTCCATTCTTGCTAATTCCAACCCCGTTTCAGGATTGGTGGTTTTAGATTAAACACTCAGAAGGCTATTATTGCAGTCAGAAATTAAAATCAGTATTGCTCTCCACTTTATTGGCAATGGCAAATGAAAAACTGGTACCTCAATGCTAATTTGGAAACTAAAAAAAAAAGAAAAAAAGATTCACACACAAACAAACAAACAAACAAACAAAAAACCCAAAATATATTCAAGATTTGGCACAACCAACTCTTTGATAATTTGGGGGAATTTTTTTCTTTTTCTTTTCATTCTCACCTGAGGATATTTTAACACTGATGTGAGAGAGAGAGAGACAGAGATAGAGATTTTGATTGGGTCAGGAAGGGAATTGAACCTGCCACCTTTTGGTCCCAGGGCAAATGCTCTAATAACTGAGCAAACTGGCCAGGGTGATAATTTGTAATGTTTTGACTTGCTTTTTGAACAACAATGTAGCCTCTGGTTCTCTTCTTGGCTGCTGAGGAAATGCCTTTATAGGCTTTATATTGCTTCCAACAATTGCACTGGTTATTACATATGACTATAAACTTATGAGAGCCAAAAATGGTTAAGCTCAGTGGATAGAGCATCGGCCTTCGGACTGAAAAGTCCCAGGTTCGATTCTGGTCAAGGGCATGTGCCTTGATTGCGGGCACATCCCCAGTAGGGGTGTGCAAGAGGCAGCTGATCATGTTTCTCTCTCATCGATGTTTCTAACTCTCTATCCCTCTCTCTTCCTCTCTGTAAAAAATCAATAAAATATATTTTTTAAAAAGTAAACTTATGGAAAAGGTGTAATTATAAAAGCCAAGTTTTTAGATTGTGACTAAGTTTCAAACTTCTATTTTTTTCACCTGTGACCCAAATGGTTTAGAGTTTTGGGTATCTCATCTAGCTAAGGTGTTTGACTAGAGCAGTGGTCACCAACCTTTCCGATGTCACGGACCACCAGTTGGCGCCTCTGCTTCAAAGGTTTCCCTAATCCAATGGTTGCCAACCTTTCGAACCTCACGGACCACCCAGTTGGCTACTGCTGGACTAGAGGGAAGGGGCCTTACCAAAAGTACCAAGCAGCCGAGACCGGTTTGGCTCAGTGGTAGAGCGTCGGTCTGCGGACTGAAAGGTCCCAGGTTCGATTCCGGTCAGGAGCATGGTCAGGGGCATGTACGTTGGTTGCGGGCACATCCCCGGTAGGGGGTGTGCAAGAGGCAGCTAGTGGATGTTTCTCTCTCGTCGACATTTCTAACTATCTCTCTCCCTTCCTCTCTGTAAAAAATCAACAAAGTATATTAAAAAAAAAAAAGAGAGAGAATTTTACCTTTTTTAAAAAAAATCCTCACCAGAGGATATTTCCTCCACTGATTCTTTTAAAGACAGTGGGAAGGAGTTGGGTGGAAAGAGAAAAGAAACATGAATATGAGGCATTTGAACCTGCAATCCAGGTTCATGCCCTTGACAGGGAATCTCACCAGAGACCCTTTGGTGCACTAGCCAACACTCTGACCACTGAACAACACCGGCCAGGGGAAGAGAATTTTACTTTCAATTACTGTGTATTATTCAAGTTACCCCAACTGTCAAAAGTGACAGCCACTAAAAGTCTAACTCAAACACCTCAACTCACTAGAAGAGATGGCAAATTTGTGAAAAGGTAGAATTAAAAAAAAAAGTCCCCAAGGTTCAGTATGATAGGGTTTACTTTTCATTGGTCCTCAACCAATGAAAACTCCTTGGATCTGCCTCATATTGAACTACCTATTCTGTTTAAGAGTAATTTCCCTGGGTACTTCTAAATGAAAGTTAAAAAACAAACAAAAAAGCCCCCAAAAACCTGGTTATTAAATTTCAAGTACAAATCTGATGTCTAGAAACCTACCCCAAAGGCAACAATTTCACATGTCATCCAACATCTATTTCTTTTTTATTAGCAAATAAAATATCCTTTGAAAATTAACAGGTGGCTCCACTTCCATGTTATAGTGTAATGAGTGATACTGGGTACTCTCCCAAACGCAAACTAGCCTGTTCTGAGGCATTCCCAAAACCAAGGCATTAAAAAGATCATTCTTCCCCAAACAAAGATATCCTCTGGGGATTGAAACCCCGGAGACTGGACACCTCAGCAGGCACTACAGTGGTGTTATCCTGGGAAAGTAATCTTCCTGTGGAAGCGCACAAAGGCTGTGTGTCCTTGACAAACAGCAAGATGTTTATAAGCCTACCTTCTAAATGCTGCAAGGGGTAACTTGCCTTAATGATTTTTTTTTTTCTTTTAAACGGGGCGCCTCAAATTATATATAGTGTATGGATGGCCAGAATCAAGAATGAGGCTATAAACGCGATTCCTTCTCTAGGTCAGAACGAGAAACTAGGGAGAAATAAAAATATCTGCCAGCAAGCACGTAGCAACTGTCCATAATGGGGGAGGGGGGGGGAGCTCTGATGTGTGTGTGTTTGTTTTGGTTGGTCTCCCCGCTCCCGCCGTGAACCGGGCCATTCCCTGGCTCCCGCAGCCACGGAAGGGGAAGGGGATCGCTCCTCTCTCGGCCTCCCGACCTTACCCAGTTGGCAGGCCTCTCGGCGAAGGGGGTCAGGGCGCCGGAGGCACAGGCCAACAACAGGGGGCCGAGGCGGGGGCCGGAACCCGAGCGGGGCAGGCGGCGGCCCCGATCCCGCGCTGCAGCAGAGCCCCGTGCCGGTCCTGCCGGCCTGGGGGATGGGGCTGGAAGCGGGAGCTCGTCTTCCCGGGCGCTCAGGGCCGCTACGGTCCGGCCTGGCGGCCGAGGAAGGGGGAAGGACAACACGTCGTCGCCGGCAGAGCGAGGGATCCGCCCTGCGAGCAAGACCCCGGGAGCCTAACCGCCCCCTCCCCGTGCGCGCCATTTCCAGGCCCCAAGTCCTCTTCCAGGCGCCTCTCCCAGGCCTCCGCCGGCCTGGCCCGGACCCTGCCTCCCGCCGCCCCGGAGGCCCCGACTCCGCTCGCCCCCCGCGCCCGGCTGGGGTGCGCGCACGGCCGCCTCACCCTCTGCCGCCGCCGAAGCTGCTGTAGGCCCGATCGTCGTAGGTATCGAAGTCCGCCATTTGCCGTCTCCGCTCCGAAAGGAACCAGGGTGAACGAGGAAGGACCCCGCAATATAACTCCCCCCGCCCTGCCGCCGGGGCTGTCCGCAGCGCCGCCTGATCGCAAATCGCATGCACGCACGCACATGCGCGCGCACGTACGCCGCGCCGCGCCCGGCCTGGCGCGCTCTGCGGCCCACGTGGTGCGGCGGTGTGTGTGCCCGGCGCCCGGCCTGGTGGCCCGGCCCATTGTGTGCTAGTCCCGCGGCTTCACCTGCAGCCGCCTCCTGCCACCGCCCCGCCCCACCCGTGGCGCGAGGCTTGCCCTACCTCGGGAATCTCCGGGGGCTCTGTCCGCGCGCCTAGACGGTCGCTCTCCGGGCAGGCCTTGGACCATGTGCCAGGCCTGCAGTCCTTGATGGGGTCGCCTAGCTTTTCGTAATCCAGAACTGGCGGGAACCCGGAATCCTGCTCAGCGTGGCCGCACTCCGACACCTCTTCCCAGCCAAGGAGTCGCTGGCTTCAGCCACAGGGTTACCTCCTCCGGGTTGAGTCCCCAGAGCTGGGCACTCGCAGAGAATGCACAGGGTCCAAAGGCTCTGAAGGGGTGAGATTGGGGTCGGTATCCGAGCTTGTGGGGCGAGGCGAGTGCAGACACGGGTTTGAGGTAGGGGTGGGGAGTGAGATTAGAGTGTAGGTTGTAGTTGAATTATTAGCAAGAGTCTGTGTATCTCACCTTTGCGTAAGTCACTGCGCTGGAAAAGAATGCCGTCCTGATGTGAATTCCATCTAGCAATAACAGACAGGCTATTCAATGACAATTACATTGGTAATTGTTGAGGTTTGCCATTGAGATGGTGGTCATACGGGATATTCCAAACCCTAATGTGTCTAGGCACAATTTAGAAGAACCTCAGAATTCTTGCATATACCCAGTAAGTATAAAAAGAGTTTACTAGGGCCCTGGCCTGTGTAGCTCAGTTGGTTGAGTGGCATCCCCTGCACCGAAGGTTGCCAGTTACGAGATGCAACCAATCAATATTTCTCCCTCACATTGATGTTTTTCTCTCTGTCTCCCCCTTCTTTCTTTACAAAAGTCAATAAAATTTTTATTTAAAAAAAAGATGATACTAAGTAGGTATAAAATGCTATACATTTAAACATTTTTTGTTATTTTATCCCAGTACCAGGATGACAAAGCAGCTATTAATTTTTTTTTTTTAAATTTCTGTCTCTCCACTTTATTATTAGATAGGCCAACATAACCAGAGTTCTGCCTCTTACCTAGCTGTGTGACCTCAAGCAAGTTACTGAACCACTTTACTGTCATTTTTATCATCTACACGTGCAAGAACGGGCCTTCCTTCCCCTGGTTGCTGGCACCACCTTTGCTCTAGCTGCAGTCGCTTTTCTGCCTTCTCAGCTGCCCAGAGGCCCAGAGCAGCTGGGGCAGTGCAAAAGGCCTGTGTCTTCGCCATGGCAATGATGCAAGTGTCCTGCCCCGCCCCCTTTTGCTGGTTGCCTGCACATGCAAATTAACCCACCATCTTTGTTGGGTTAATTTGCATACATATTCCTATCTGGCTGGTGGGTGTCATGATCAACATGCATCTTACTCTTTTATTAGTATAGATAAGGGGAGGATGGCACCTACATCCTCAGGATTATAAAGATTAAATGAGAAAAATTTTATAAAGTTCCTGGTCCACAGTCAGCTATATTAAGCACCTACCTACTCTGTGTTTGATTCCATGATGGGTGTTTTTGCATGTATAATTCCCATATCTCATACATAAATTACAGTTTTGAAATACCTAGAGGAAGTGACTTGCCCAAAGTCACACGGCTTTGAACTTAGCACATGGCTCAGAGAACAATCAATGGTTTCTTCTCTCCTTGCACAGTTTAAATTTGGCCCTCCCCTCCACATCTCTTTCCCATAACTCCTCTACTTTATTTTTTAAAAATATTTTTTATTGATTTTTTATAGAGAGGAAGGGAGAGGGAGAGAGAGTTAGAAACATCGATGAGAGAGAAACATCAATCAGCTGCCCCCTGCTCACCCCTTACTGGGGATGTGCCCGAAACCAAGGTACATGCCCTTGACAAGAATCAAACCTGAGACCTTTGAGTCCACAAGCCAATGCTCTATCCACTGAGCCAAACCAGTTAGGACAACTCCTCTACAGAAGCTCTACATAAGAAGAAGGAGGTAATTTATCATTAATGAGTAAAAGGAGGGAAGGTGTTTTGTTGGTATAATACTGTTAACTTATCTAAAATAATCTGAAATATGAGTAATTTTTATGTTGAGATTAAAATCGGTGACTGAAATATTCAGTTTACGTGCAAAGAAACATTGATGCTCTACAAACTATATAGATCCACTCCTGTGTGAACCATAATAAGCATCTGCATTGTGCTACTGCAAAGCTTCTGTTATAAGCATGAGTTTAAGTATAGGTTAAAGACCTTACCAATAGGCCCTGGCCTTGTAGCTCAGTTGATTAGAGCGTCGTCCCAGTACACCAAGATTGCAAGTTCTATCCCCAGTCAGGGCACATACACGAAGCAACCAATAGCCCTAGCTGGTTTTGCTCAGTGGATAGAGCATCGGCCTGGGGACTGAAGGTTCCTGGGTTCGATTCTGGTCAAAGGCACATACCTCCGTTGCAGGCTTCTCCCAGGCCCTGGTTGGGGTGTGTGCAGGAGGCAACCAATCGATGTGTTTCTCTCACATTGATGTTTCTCTCACTCTCCTTTCCACTCTCTCTAAAAATGAATGGCAAAGTATCCTCACCTGAGGATAAAACAAACAAAACAATAAGCAACCACTGAATGCATAAATGAAAAATTAAAAAAAGACTTTCCAAACAAGTGAATATGAGTGTGAAAAAAATTTAAATTGACACTTGTAATCTCCATCTATACATGATGAAAAGAAAGGAGTAAAAAAAAGTACTGACTATGCTTTTTTTCCTAACCAAAACTATAGCTTACTAGCATTAAAAACACGCAGATTTTGCAAAATAACAACAACAATAATAAAAAAAACACAACCCTGTTAAAAAATATATCAAATAGATATTCGAAGAAGGATGCTTCAACTCTGCCCCTTTGATCTATTTTCCACATAGCAGTCATAGTGTTTCTTCTTTTCTTTTTATTGAATTAATTGGGGTGACACTGCTTAACAAAATTATATAGGTTTCAGGTGCACAACGCATGTATTGTGTGTTTGCCCCAAGTCATTGTGTGTTTTCTACCCAAAATCAGGAATTGTCATTGCTCTACTCAAACCCTCTCATTTTTCTGAGTTGGAAGGAGCCAGACCCCTCACTATGGCCTAAAAGGCTTGCATATGTCTACTCCTGCTCCTAGCCTCTCCTCCCTTCTCCTCCATCACTCAACTCCCAATCAACTTCCCACTTTAAGCTTTTACTTGTGTTCTGACACCCGCATGACACCCACCTTCGCTTCCTTCAGGCTCCTGTTCAAAAAAAGCCTTCCCTAACTGCTCTGTTTGAAATAGCAACAGCCCCCAATTTTCTTTTTTCTGCTGGGTGGCTCTTTTCCCAGCACTTGCCTCACCTGAACCAGTGAACTATTTGGAATCAGATGAAAACCCTTTCTTCATCATCCCATTTCCTTCCAGTTCTCAACTGGTTGCATTGCAAAGAGCTTCTGGAGCCACTGAGCTCTTTGGTTAGAAAGACTTTGTGACTCAATAATTCATGTGCTTTATTGGTATTATATTATATTTAAGTTTTAATGGGATATAATTCACATACCACAGAATTCAGCCATTTAAAATGTACAATTCAGCCCTGGCCGAGTAATTCAGTTGGTTAGAGCATCATCCAATACACCAAGGTTTTGGGTTCGATCCCCAGTCAGGGCATATACAAGAATCCACCAATGAATACATAAATAATTGAAACAATAAATTGGTGTTCTCTCCTCTCACAAATCAATAAAAACTTAAAAATGTACAATTCAGCTGTTTGTAGTATATCCACAGAGTTGTACAAACATTAACACAATCAATTTTAGAATCACTTTTGATACCCAAAAGAAATCCTGTTCCCCTTAGCCTTGATTCCCTAATCCAGAACTAGGGACTAACTAATCTACTTTCTACCTTTGTAGATTTGTCCATTTTGGACATTCCATATAAATAGAATCATACAATTGTGGACTTTTGTGACTGGCTTCTTTCACGTAGCATAATATTTTCAAGGTTCATCCATGCTGAAGCATGTATCAGCACTTCATTCCCCTTTTTCCTCCCTTTTTAATCCTGATGTTTACTGATTTGACAGAGAGGAAGAGGGTGAGAAGAGAAACAATGTGAGAGAGAAGAATCCATCATTTGCCTCCCATACTTGCCCCAGTGGGGATTAAACCTGCAACCCAGATATATGCCCTGACTGGGAATCGAACCCACAACCTTTGTTTTTTTTAAAATATATTTTTATTTATTTCAGAGAGGAAGGAAGAGGGAGAGAGAGAGAAACATCAATGATGAGAGAGAATAATTGATTGGCTGCCCCACACTAGAGACTGAGCCCGAAACCTGGGCATATGCCCTGATGGGGAATTGAACCGTGATCTCCTGGTCCATAGGTGGACACTCAACCACTCACCCATGGCAAACCTGCAAGTTTTTTGTTTCAACCGACTGAGCTACCGGGCAGGGTCTTCTTTCCTTTTTTTATTGCCAAATAAAATTCCATTGTATGAGTATGTAACAGTTTATTTACCCATTCATAAGTAGATGAACATCTTGGTTGTTTCCATTTTTGGCTATTATGCTGTTATGAATATTCATGTACAGATTTTTGTGTGGACAGGTGTTTTCCTTTCTTTTGGATATCTAGCAGTGAGATACTTGATCATGTGGTAACAGTATAACTATATACCATATATACTTGATCATGTGGTAACAGTTTAACTATTTGAGGAACTTCAAGACTGTTTTCCAAAGTGGCTACACCATTTTAAATTTCTACCAGTGGTAT